ATAAAATATAATACTTGTTATTGAAATTTGATATCAAAGATGAGAGTTGAGTAAATTCAAGTAGTACATAGAACTAGAGATGAATGAAAAAAAATCATTCTCACAAATGACATGAGTAATAACATGAAGTGTTTGAAGAAACAAGATGATAACCATGAAATGTGAAGTAGTATATGACATAATCAAATAAAATTGACATGATAACTATTTGCTTAAGAAGCAAGGAGTCAAGTGCAAGTCAAAGACTATTGGTCTAAATAGAATGTTGAGGCCAAAATCATTTACATACAACAATAAAATTGTAGGAAAACTTGAAAATTGACATTGATTATTGTCATATTACATTAAAAATCTTCAATTTTGAAGCAAATTTATGAATGTGATGATTATATTTTACTTTTGAATTTGTTAAACGACAATTTCATTGCAAATAATTGTCAAATAAATTATACGTCTCAAATGAGACGTACAATTTATCACTGTATCTTGGTCTCAAATGAGACAAAGAGACAACGAAGCTTTTGAACGAATCATGCTAAAACTATATTCTGATCTATATCTAAAAATGATCATTAACTTCATAATAGAGGTGTAAACTCTATGAGTATGTGACACAAATTTAGAAGTTGATTCTGACTGTTCACATTTATCTCATTGATACATAGACTAACAAAGAATATCACTTTGATAAAATGAAAATTGTGAGAAAAATGAGTAGAATGTTTCCTTGAAGCTAATGAATTTTAAGATAAAAAATTTTAATCAAAGTATTGAATATCACATTTGATGTGTTTGAAGATTTCTTGGTTTTCATAAATTTGGAGAGGAAATAGATAAATAGAGAAAAAAAGTTCATCTCTTGAGCTCAATAAACGAACAATATAAGTCATTATCATGTGTGTTGATTCATTGTGATAGGTAGAAAATCATTTATAACAAATTTGTAAGTGTTTTTTTGAATGATAATTTGTAGTTGAAGATGAATTTTCATTTTTTTTATTCTATTTGTTTGATACAACATTGAATGTGTTTTGGAATTGATCATATTCACCCATCATATGTTCATTATTGCCCATTTGCTATGGACAAGATGAACAATTACATGTCAAATCGAGGATAGGATATGTTGGTGATGCATTGGTGAAGATACTTGAAAATTATTAGGATTGAAGATATTTTGTTTGATGTCTCATAACACAATGTCAAATACTTGCTAGATTACATTGATGTTGACTATAGATAACACATGGACAAGAGAAAATCTTAAACTGGGTATATGTTTAGAGTTGGGTGGTGAATCTATTAGTTGGAGCTAAAAATGTAGTTGCAGATTGTTATTTGAAAATCTAAAAGTATCAACAAGAACTTTGTCTAACTCACCTTTACAATGACAAAAAAATCCGAACCTTAATTACGATTAAGTTGCGTGAGTTGAAACCTACCTCAATTAGTAATAACAAGAAGATCTCTTGTCTTCAAACCTTGTCAACTATTTAAAAAAATGAAAAAAATGCCCTCATAATTGGATTCAAAAATTTAATAAATTGGATAGGTTTGTCATAAAAACTCTATATTGCACATTTAAACTTTTTCTATCACATGTATGGATAGCGGGAAGGTTATGTTATGGAAGTTTAATGTGATGATTTTCACAGTCTCGAGTAAAGTAAACTGGCAATACTTGCAGAAGAGCTAAATACCCAACCTTCTCTATAGTCCATCTCTTCCGTTTAAAAATGTTTTAACCGGAAGACAAACGAAGCGTACGAGAATGTACAAACGAAAATGTAAGTAGTGAAGTACTATGGTATCAACTGCTTTGGTTTCTCAACTTAGGATAGATAATAGGGACGTCTCAAATAGAATATACCATCTAAACCTTCAGATGAATCAAACTTACCAATCAAACAATCAGGCACAGCCGGGTTCAAGCATGACTGTCGGGACGTCTAATTGAACCTCAAGGATTTGGGAAACGTAAAAGGAAAGAAAATTACTAACTTCTACGAGAGTCGCTCAACTCTCCGCTTTGGTGTTGTGAATGATGGACATTAAGCCTGCAATGTTAAAGGGGTTTTTGTACGGTACAGTAAAATGGATGCTCAATCAAAATACAACAATGGTCTTCCCCATTTCGTCAATCACAAAGAGCTTAGTCTCAAATTAATGGCAGGGCTTATCTTTTTGAAAGGGTTAGAGAACTTCCTCATGAAGCTGTTGAAAGATCCAAATATCTGAAGTAAGAACATCGAGGTGATTTCCAATGCATGCAGATAAGCTCTTAGTACTTGCTACGAAATCGCAAATTCCAAATTCTCCACATAAATTGCTTTGATATGTGTAAATTAAGATCGGAAGCGACTTTTGGATATGTGTTCGCTATTTTCAATGCTTTGTAATATCCTAGCAGTACGATCTCAACATGGATATACCAAAATGGTGTCTCAAGGATTCTGACAAGGCCGAGATTCTCCAGAATAATCCCAAGAAAAATGATCTAAAGAAGAAATCAGAGGAATTCCGCATAAATTAATGTATACAAAAGTCAGATCTACAGGTCATAACCCATTGCCAGATATGTTTCCATTCCCAGGTTCTACTGCATGATGTGACCTTGCAACTAACCCTCTTCTGTTATGGAGTAGTTCAGATACAACAACCCTTTCTTTTCAGATTTTGAATCATTAGTGAAATTTGTCTCATACCCCCCCCCCCCCCCCCCCCCCCCTCCTCTTCCGTTCATTCAAAAAGATGATACCCACCATTGGGAACAACTCTCAGTCGTCCTCTAAATCAAAGTCTACATACAAATAAATAATAACATATATGATCACGTTCACAGTAAAAAAATGTCATATGAAGTAACGTTCTTACGTGCTAAACAAACCAAGCCGCCGAAGGAACAAAATGCGTAGAAAATCGTGAAGATGAGGAGAGTAAATAATTAAATATTGTGTAGCAAGAGGATAGAGGAAATTAAAGAAATTCCCTTGATGACGGAGACTAGGCGAAGTATTGAAGACCTCACATCTAGATTTAGCGATAAAAGTTCTAACAACGCGCTGACATGGAACTTTCCAATCTCGGATTGACAATTGTTTCCACTGGAAAATCTGCAAAGTTCCCAAGTGCATGAAGATCCGGCAATGGGTCAATCCAGACCGATGGTCAACTGGCAGTTCCAATACACTGCCCGTGCATTACTTCGTATTGCATATTTTATATAATAAACTAAAGAAACTCATTGTAAATGTGACAGAATATAGTAATTTCATAGTACAAAATGAAATAACCAAAATAATCACAAAGTCTTACATGGATAAAACAAAACAGGTAACATGAGCTATGTACTGATGGCATCGCAAGGAAAAATATGACATATCACATTTAACTAGCTCTAAACAGTTAAGAAATATCTTCAGTGAGTGTATTTTCATTGATGTAAATCATAAGATGTTGTAACTATTTTAAATATGTAGTAAAATTCTTGAAAACCAATTGTAAACGTTTTCTAACATGAATTGAATGCTAAATCTACATTCGTATTTGTCATTTAAACATTATAAACACCATATCCATACTGACACCATAGATAAATCTAGATTATAAATGTCAATGAGTCATTCACAAACACTTATGAAAAATGTACATATGAAGATGCCAAACACAAATGCTTTTCATATATGTACAAGAGGTACATACTGAGAAGAAAAAAAAATCATGAATATTCATGTACAAAGGAAATGATCAAATATCCATGTTCAAGTAAATATGAATATTCATATATTCCTATTTACAATAGAGTTCTCGAAAATAAAAATGGAGATCATAATGAAAAAACAATGATGTTGAGATTGAAGTAATTTAGATTATTAAGTATCTATAGAGAAAGAAAAAGAAATAGAAAATCCGATCAAGCCATTCGATAATGAAATAATACTTGAGACTATCATTAGAGGAAAATTTGTACTGCATCGTCTACAACATTTGAAAGATCAAGATCAACGATAACATTTAATGTCACATCATTTAACAAGATCACTAGTTTATTAAACATTGGTCAGTGATTTTTGTTCAGCAACATACACCATACAGAATGTACATAATCACACTTGTGTAGATTATATCCAAGTAGCAGTGGTGGATTCGAGGTGTATACCCTATACACCTCGAATCCACAATGTAGCAGTGACTAAAAGGTGGGGTATGATATTGTAGTGCAAAGGTACCCGAGAACCACAATCGCCATTACTTCGAACACGTAAATAGAAACAGATGATTCGGCCGCTTTCACCGAGATGCCAGATGGACAAGTCATTGCCGATGATCGGAGAACAACTCTGCAGCACCGAACGGAAAGAACGAGAGGTGAACTTCTTGCGAACCGTCGTCTTGTGGTGCACGTTGCAAGATCTGTGAAACTCGACGGACGGAGAAGGAGCGGTGGGGAAGTGGGCGTCCATCCAGGAAACCCGAGCGGGGCAGAGACGGTAACCATGGAGGTCGGGCGGGTCAGGGGGCGGACAAATGCGTTGGAATGGATTGAATGATAGAAGGCAGGAGCGGAAGGGTAAGGCAGAGCGGCACGGGGATCGAGAAAGAGGAATGGGGACCCGGGCACACCACCAACAAACAATCCTAAAATAGGAAGGGAAATGGTTTAAAAACAGGCAACAGGAATCCGTCCATGACATGCAGAGCCGCGGATGACATCCGCGATGGGGTGGGTCACATGGTAAAAGCACGGCCGAGGAGCACAGGATGGGAGAATTACCAGCGGTCGTTCTTGTGCGGGCCGCGGGCCTTCGTTAGAGTGACCGAGCAAACCCTAAGGCAAATGGCACCATTGATGGCAGAATAGCACTCGACTCGGGCAAGGCAAAGCTCCGTGAAGTGCGGTTCCGTCGGATCCGTCATCGGACGACGGTCACTGGCGCAAGTAAACCGAAGACGCACTGCTCCCGGGTTTCAATTTCCAAGAGCCTGGCCTTCCACATTTTATTGCTGTTGTTGCGTTCGAGCACGCCATCGATTCGTTCGTTTGCGCTGAGGAGCAACGAGAGAGAGAGAGAGAGAGAGAGAGAGAGAGAGAGAGAGGAGGAGGAGAAACGAGTGTGGTGTCGTTGTGGGTTGAAGAGGCGGAGGAGGATGATGTAGTAGTAGTAGTAGTCGTTGTCTTCATATAAGCAATTCATTTGACACACCGACTGTTGGAGGTGTGAAGTGGAGATTCGTGTTGCGTGGTTCTCCATCGCACTCCAAGCCCCGAGTAGTAGCTGCAGGTTCCGAGTCACGTGCTCGTTCCTCTCACCGATTGGGGGAATAATATTAATTTCTAGGTTAAGAGGTCAATATCGATTCCTTCTCACTCTCTTTTAAACATCTGCCAATTTGTCTGTGTAGTAGTGGTTTGGAGTGACGTCTGGTGCGTTGTTCATGTCAATGTGCGTTTGAGTGATTGAGAGCACAGAGTGCGAGAGAGAGGGATAGAGAGATGAGTCGTCGACGCGAACCGATGTGCGCGCATTGAGGTTGGTTGGTCGAAGTAAACGGAGGGAGAGGTATCCTTCGGCAGTGAGGGGATAGGAGGAGAAGAGGCGACAGACAGGTAGAGGCGAGGTCGAGGCTGGATGTGAAGGATGGGGTGCTTAGTCGATGCATGAAATATCGATGAGGAGATTTGCCGTATTCTTCTGGACGCGGAGAATTTGGCAGGTCGGGTGAAATCTTAGGTTGTGGATCAGGAGTTGGAAGCCTTGGCGCACAAATTGTGGGTGTTAGGCCTCGTAGTGTAGGTAGGATAGCTGACCGGCGACTTTGAGAAGGGGGAGGTTTTATCAAGTGCTTGCAATTTGTTGCGCACGCAATTCCTTCACGGTCCAGAATGTTTTCAGCATTTTGTGGTTCTTAATTATTCCATCGAAAGGCAGCCTATGCTTTCACGTCGCTCGTGGGAACTCGTTGTCGCAACTGTGTGTCTCTCAGTGTCGTCCAACGCGTCGCGTTTGTAGTTTTTATAGCGAAGGTGCAGGGATGATATGCAATTGTCTTAGCTGCTAGCATTACCGACGAGAGCAGGGCCTCCCGTTATACCAGATCATCTACTGTCTACAATATGTGTCGATTGATTTGTGTAACTAGCTAGATGATGTATGGTCGTCTGCTGTGGGTATGGTTGGCGGGTCGTCTTTTCTGGTTTGATGTATGTGGATGTGGCATATCTCTATGTGATCGTAGCTGAGAGGGTAAGCAGATACCGTCTCGCAAGATGCAAGCTTAGAGTTACTGAGAACTATCGGTGATGTCTTCGAGCTGACCTGTAGAAACTGCTGATCGAATTCACGCCCTATGGCTTACAGCTGCTCATCTGTTCCCCATAGAACTGACATTATATTTCTTCCTCTGCGCAGCCATAGGCCTTGCAATATTTGGAGCTGGTGGACATTTATGCAATGGGAACCTCCGGACCCTCGGGAGGATTTGACATTCAGAACTTTTTCAAGACACCGCCCCCGTCATCGCTTTCATCTTATACTCCGCCTTCAGCACCCTACCCCCCTCCCAATCACCCCTATCAAACTTCGTCCTCTCACCCTTATCCCCTAAACAATTTTGCTCCGTCGAACTCATATACCTCTGGAAATAGTTTTACCTCACTTCCGGGTTCATACCCTTACAACTCGCAACAAACTCCAGGAATTCAATCACCAGGTCCTTACAACTCTCAACAAACAGCAGGGATGTATCATCCGTACATGCATTACCCTCAAGATCATGGACCTCGACCTCCACCATATCCGGCGTCTCCTTACCCAACGACTTCATACGCCCCACCTGGACCTCAGCATGGGACATTTTCCCAGTCGCAATATTCTTCTAGTCAGACTCAGGCCCAAACTTTCAGTCAGTCGCAGTCTTCCTCCACTTCGAATACGACCAGTGCACAATCTGGCTCCCAAGTTTCCGCCCCAACTACCTCAGTACCGCCACCCCCGCCCGTTCATGCCCCTAGTCCGGTTTCGAGCCCTCCCTTAGATGGTGCACACCTTATGGCCCTTCTTACTACCCAATCTTCAGCTGAAGTGACTACTAGCAAGGAAGAAACATCCGCAATGCTTTTGGGACCTCCCAGTATGCTCGAGGTTTCTACCCCAGGAATCATACCTTCGGACACCTCACAGGTTGTTTCTCCGGAAGTTTCTGTTCCCCCTCCTGCGATAGCGCCAGCCTTACCAACGGCTCCTCCTGTGAACTTGGCCCCAACTCCCTCAAGGCTACCCGGGAGCAAGCCTCCACGAGGGCGGTCTTTGAAAGGTGAACAGGTGGTTTATGATGTGGATGTGCGACATAATGGGGAGGCTCAACCACAACTAGAAGTGTCTCCCATCACTGTCTACGGTTCCGACCCTGTCTTGGTACTCGGACGTCAGATTGCTGTGAACAGGAGTTACATTTGTTATGGTCTACGAGCTGGAACAATCCGCATTCTGAACATCAATACTGCTTTGCGTGTCCTACTTCGTGGGCACTCGCAGGTGAGCTATTCGATCCCACTTAATTATTTCGGATAAATAAATTCTGACGAGCTGACTAATATATCAGATGGTGTAATTAAATTTTCCTAATTAGCTGCGCCAGGCAGCTAAGGCAGGTCATCAGTTATTAGAAGTGTTTATTGCCGATTCCTTTCTGAACTTGACAACGTCGTCGTCTTATGTGCGTCTGTGTGGATTTCCCCGTTTCTCGCATGCAGAGGGTAACAGACATGGTGTTTTTTGCTGAGGATGTGCATCTCCTCGCGAGGTGAGGCTGATTTAGCAGATGTGCCGTTTGAAGTTGTATTTTGTATTTAATGTTTGAAAGCGCATGTACTCTTTTTTATGATAGGGTCATCTTCAAGTGTGTTTGTTGCAAGTCACATATTCCAGTAGTTTTTAAAGTCATCTCTTCTCTCAATGTTGCTCGAGTTTTTCAAATGTAGTCTACGGAGTATCATTTTATATGCGAGAACAGTGAACACATCTTATAAGTTATGTTGTAGTGCTTAGGAAATTACTGATATTATGTGGATTTTTCATGATTTTTTGACCGCAGTGCTAGCACAGACGGTCGAGTATTTGTGCGGAAAATTGTGGAAGGGACATCTGATGACGGAAGGATGGAAATCAAAGACCATATTCTTGTAGCTATGCAGATTCTCGGAGACTGGGAGTCGGTGCACCCACGGGTTTGTTGGCACTCTCAGATGCCGGTTAGTGCCCTCATTCTTCGGTTAATTTATCTGCAAAATGAAGGCTATTGGTTGAGAGAATTAACTTTCATGCGAGTATATTAGCTTCAATCACCCACGAGGAATGCATGTGTCCCCATTCTGGTATCGGCATTGAATATAGACGTGCCGTTTTTTTAAAACTTCATGGTTCGTTGAACTACCTTATGGATAATGGAATTCTGGTGTTTATAAAACTGCCCATGCTCTAGAACCTCAACCAGCCTTGAAGCTCACTTCTCCTGTTGGCGATGCAGGATCTTTTGGTGGTGGGCATTGGCAAGTATGTCCTAACAATTGACCTGAATAAGCTCAGGGCTAATGCACCTTCTGGTGGTTTCACGGCAGAGGATCCTTTAGTTTGCCATGTGAACAATCCACTGGAAGGGGTACACGTAGTCGGGGAACACAACGCGGATGTTACAGATTTGTCAGTTCCTTTGTGGATTCCAACTTGCTTCGCATCTGCGTCCCAAGACGGAACGGTAATAGCTTATATCTCTCGAAATGATACCACCCATGTCATAACTGTAATGCCAAGTCTGCAAATTTTTGTCGTACGAAAATAGTTTATGTCTCTTTATGACTGATCTTGCAGATATTACTTGAATAGTCAGACATTATAGATGAGAAGATATCTCAACACATATCATCTTACATATAGAGTACATATTGATTGTTCCTAATTTCACAGAAAATTTGTTCCGGATTGTTACTTTCTACTTTTATCTAGATTGAAACTCACGTCAAAAAACTTGATTAGATTGCTTCGATAGTACTGTCTTAAATTTTTTTACGGAGGCTTTTTGTTGATGGTATGATGGTTTGGTCAATCTTACCACACGAAGTCAGTTAACTTACTGTATGGAACAATATGAAGACTTATCATTTGCTTCTGTTGCAGGTGAGGATCTGGGGAGATAAGAATATGAATCCGTTATCTGTCTTTGTTCCACACCATAAGCAGCCAGTGAACTCTGTTGCTTTCGTCTCCGCCCCTCGGCGTCCTGACCATGCGGTTTTGGTTACTGCGGTATGGATTCCCCTAACCTTGTATGTATATGTGTTTTAGGATTATATGTTGCACCTTCATTTTGTTTTTAAGTTCCGTTGTTCATTTCCGATTTCATTATAAATGAATTTGTCATCAAGGTTATCACGAAGGATTTACTGGATGTCTAGAATAGACTAGTCATCGTAACAATAAAAGGTTCGTACTTCTCACATCGTATGAACTTCTCTCAGGGTCCTTACAACCGGGAGCTGAAGCTGTGGGCGCAATCAACAGCCGATGGACTACCTTCCAAACCTGGTGGTGGTAACTGGCAGTGCATACAAACATTAGAGCTCAAGAGTTCTGCTTCGGAAGGATGGGTAGACAAAGCTTTCTTCAATCAAGTCCTAGTTGTGCCCCGGGCTAGCCTTATATTACTGGCAAATGCAAAGAAAAATGCAATCTATGTTGTGCATTTGGAATTTGGATCGACAGCTGCAGCTACCCGGATGGATTATCTTGCCGAGTTTTCAGTTACAATGCCTATACTGAGCTTGACTGCAACAAGCGAGGGTGTTTCGGATGGTGAAGGCACAGTTCAAGTATATTGTGTTCAGACACAAGCCATTCAGCAGTATGCACTTGATTTGTGTCAGTGTCTGCCTCCTCCAGAGGAGCCCTCCATAGACATTGCAGCCGCCTTAGACAAGAGTCTCATGGGATCACAAGTCAGCAGTCCACTTGCGGGTCAAACTTTTACTCATGTAGATTCTGGGTACCCAACTATACTGAACGAACTGACAACAGTGTCGATGACGACAAATTCTGTCACAGCAGGTCCCAGTGGTAGTCCTGCAGGTCCCAGTGTGGGCTCTGCATTTACTAACCAAACAGACGTATCGACTTCCTATGAACAAAGCAGTTCATTTTCTGAGGCTTCAGTCCTCCTAGAGCCTAAGGTCTCGACCAAACATCAGGCTATTGAAGCCGATTTGTCAGAAACAAATGACGCTCTTAGTCGCTTCAATGATGCACCTAGTGCCCCAAGTGTGCGTCCTGTTAGTCCAGCCCAGCTGCCCCCGTTTTTGAAGAGGCAGTCTCAGTCGGATAGCCCAACGAAGGTTTCTGAAGATGGATATGTATTGGTTTCCGCAAGTTCAGCAGGATCAGGAGGTTCCCCGGAGCAGCCCGACAATGGTTTAGTCCAGGAGCAACCGCCAGTAGAATCGTTATTGACAGAAGTAGGTGGATTGGATTCGGTGTCCACTACCTCTCAAGGTGGAGATGAGGTATTTGAGAAAGATGAAGATGCCGTGTTGGGTGCAACATCAAAGAGTGGCAAGTCATTGACTGCACAGCAAAAATCGAACTCAGGTCCTGTTCATCTGATCACTCCCTCAGAGCTGATGTCCATGGTAGCTCGGTCAAAGGCCTCTGAAGTAGATAGCAATGTGCCCACCTCTCCTCCTGCTACTGGAGCGGATGCTTGTAAATTAGAAGCAAGTACTGATGAGGAGATTCCTACTTCGGATGCAGAACGTTTGAGAACAGAGCTCATTGTCACGACGGAGAGTAGTCTTGTCCAGCCAGAGAGTGCTGGTGTAAGGGACGGAGGGTACGATGAAATATCAGTTATGATGCCGGACGTGAAGGAAAAGATACAAGTCTCTTCGAGCTTAGAGTTCAGTAGTAAAGAATTTAGCTGGGACGGAAATGCTCCAGGTGAAACTGTCCCCGGTGATGAAGTTCTACAAGTTGAGGATGGCGACATTCTAGACGAGAGGGAGCATCTGACAAGTTCACCTGCGGAAGAAGCACAAGAGCAAGTGAAAGATCTTAGTGTCAAAGTGGGAGAGGCAACATCAGGTGCCATAGTACCTTCACAGTCACCAGCTGTGGTCAAGGGAAGGAAAAACAAAAACAAGACCAACGTGGGTGCTGCAGGTGTAGGTTCGGTTCCCCCTGTCTCACTGTCGTCACCATTGGCGATATCTGTTTCTACTGCGGGGAATTCTACTACCTCTGAAGGAGAAAGTAGTACGACTGCAAATATTGTTCCGTCGGATGCAGGTTTGGCGTACCAAGTGGCGAGTATGCAAGAGTCAATCTCTCAGGTCAGTAATTTGTAATCTTACCCAAGCGTTTACTATGACATAATCTGACCGATGCTTTTGTCTTGAATTTCTTAAACCATATGCGTAACTTGCAGAAAGCTTTATATATCAGCAAATGATCGTCGCTTTCAGTTCGATTATGATTTGTTCTCTTAGTCTTCCGATTTCAGTAGCCTCTTCCTGATTCTGTCATATCATCACTCTTTCTACCTGTAAGGTTACCTGCATGCGCTGCGTCTACCTGCTTGCTATGAGCCGATCGTCTTGCCTTTTGCACTTTTGCAGCCTTTGTTGACACTTACGTTCACACTGCATGACTTCTTGATACACCTCTCTAGACCTGGTTGTGCCCCTTCTAGCTGAAGTCGAAGTGGGTCTTTCTCACCTCCACATGAAGTTGACTCGAACCAAAGCGGCAAAAATATTGTCAGAAATCGAGTTCAAATTGCTCAATGGTGCCTTCGAAAACTGTGCACAATCGGTGGACTTTAGGCTCACCGCTCTCCTCTCGTTGGAATTCCTTGGACTTTCATGTGCTTTATCGGTTTGTAATAGATTCATGTTTTTTGTTAACCTCACTGCTGGTCTTCGTTGTTGTTCCTGATGCGGATGATCATGCTTACTAATCACCTTGGTTCACTATGCATATTGATCAATGAACTACAGACTTTCCTTTTTATTTCCTTGTCATCACTGTGACTCCTCTTGTCTCTTGGCACACAATCCAGCGTCCTTGGCAAATATTCTCGGCAGTGTCTGTACAGTTCATTTGTCTTCGAGCTTTATACCAGTCAAGCTAAAAGTGCTATAAGTTTCTGGCTTTGTATGGTTACTAGGTGTAATACCAGACTTGCGTTTAGCATATCTCAAATTTTGAGTTTTAGAAAGCATATCATGATGAGCCCTCTGGTGCTGTAAGTCTATGTATTTATGCTGTCGTATATCCTCTATGGTGTAGTTGGTCGCAATGCATAAGGAGCTTCAGAAGCAGATGACTGTTATGGTGGCCATCCCTGTATCCAAAGAAGGAAAGAGAATGGAGAGTGCCCTAGGTCAGCGGATGGAGAAGTTGTTGAAAGCTCACGTTGACGCCATGTGGGCGCGGATTCAAGAGGAGAATGTGAAGAAAGAAAAACTGGAACGAGATCGCGTGCAGCAGTTGACAAGCTTGTTGTCAAACTCCCTTAGTAAAGATCTACCTGCAACTGTCGAGAGAATCTTCAAGAAGGAGTTGACGACAATCGGACCTGTTATTGTACGATTAGTGACTCCAAGTGTTGAAAAGACAACCCTGGCAGCAGTCTCAGACGCTCTGCAGGTGCGCTTTCTTCATTTTTCTACTTCATTAGTGCCATGATGTAAAGTGTTACACGCAATCCAACACATCTGAGTACCATGCAATGGCTGAGCCGGTTAAGTGGATGTGAATCTATCGTTTGATAGCAAGTTTGCCCAGGTGTGTTGACATTTCGTTTTCCTCTCTACGACGCATGAGATGACATCCCATGACGAGTCATGGATGGTTGGTCGTTTCTTGCAGAAGGGGTTATTAGAGAAAGTTACTCCTCAGTTGGAGAAGGTTGTTGCTACAAAGCTTGAGGCCGCAGTAACGAGACAATTGCAAACACAACTAGGCATGGTGTTGAGACCTGCATTGCAGGTAATATCACGTCCCGCTTTTTCTGTGTCTGTTACGCATGTTGGATATTGGGTGGAACCATAGTCCCCTCTTCCAGACAAATGTGCAAGAGAATGAGAAAGGAAGCGTACTAATCGAGATTTGAAGGTGTTTTTTTCCTCTGGGGGTTTTGTGTTAATAAATACTTGTTTGAAATCTCCGACTGTGAACAAGATCATCGTAAGGGCATTCACCTGTTTAGTGAATATCTTCGAGTTATGTTTTCTATCTGAAAAGATTTAAATTTTTGTGGGCTGTGTTTTCAGGATGCACTGCGTTCATCGTTTGAGACAGCAGTTATACCAGGCTTTGAGCGATCTTGTCAGGCCATGTTTGAGCAGATTGACACCACATTCCAGAGAGGTTTGGCAGAGCATACAGCTGGTGTTCAGCAACAGTTTGAGGCATCTCATTCTGCCCTAGCAGCTAGTCTTCAGGTCCTTACTCACATTTATATTTATGAATTTCGTCTCCTGGGTCATTTCCTCGGTTTGTCAATGTGTCTCTGGTTTGTTATTTCTTCAGTTTGTGTAAGCAAATCTTTGCTGCCGACAAGAAAGTTACTTGACTTCATATCTTGCACTGCAACCGAAAATGGAATCTAGGACTCAAACGCAAGTTCATTTAGATAGGAAAATGATGTACAAAGATCATCGAACAAATTATATGTTGGAATGGACCCTCGTTCGTATTTCTACCTTCTCAAAATATCGTCATTCGTAATTTGCAGGACACCATGATGTCAGCTTCATCTTTGGCCACTTCTTTGAAGTCCGAGCTGAGTGAAGGGCAAAGAAAATTAATAGCTTTAGCTGAAAATGCGGGAGCCAATGCGGCAAGAGCATCTTTGACTGCAGTCAAGCAGAGCAATGGAGGTCTTCCTGACAAGGTTAGAGTCAATTTACGTTCTCAAGCTCTGTAATGGAAACATGATCAGGTGTAGAGTATTGTTTGATATTACTCTGCTGGATTCCATCTGTTCTTATATTTGTCCAATTTCGATCTGAGAGAAAAAGGCTCGTCATCTATCAAACTTTCTGATCAAGGTCCGTGTCCTATGTTGTCAGGTTCTGTCCCTTCAACATTTGGAGGAGTCTCTTGATCCCACCATTGAGTTGACTAGATTAGTGAATGAGCGGAAGCTTGAAGAGGCCTTCAACAAGGCTTTATCTCTAAGTGACGTTGCAATTGTATCTTGGCTTTGCAATCAGGTATGATCCGTCGCCCATTTATGTTTGGTATGAACGTTAGATCTTTGTTGAATAAGTTCAGTTTTCTTCAGTGAACAGCGCTGACGAAGCTAGTCTAATCGTATATGCTCTGTCGGTAGCAGGATTAGAAAACATTTGCCAAGTGTTCGGGATGTTGGCTGTGTTGCCTTGAAACTTGCTCTCTCTGATTTGCAAATTCTAAAGACCGATTTATGATAAAGACATCAGATCAGGAATGCTGAAGGTTTCGAATGCCTGCTAGAGTTTAGTATACTGACTATTGTTGGAATATTCTGACAGGTCGATCTCAAAACCCTTTTTTCAATGGTTCCACTGCCTCTAAGTCAAGGAGTACTTCTATCTTTAGTACAGCAACTGGGTTGTGATCTTGGCAAGGATACAGCACACAAACTGGAGTGGATCAGGGAAGGTGCTCTGGCCTTGAATCCCAAAGATCCAGTTCTTGCCCCCCATATGCGACCTTTCTTGGAGCAACTTTACCAAAATTTGCACCGACAGATGCATCTAACCACCGCAGGTGGTGAACTTGCTAACTCCATGCGACTGGTTCTTCACGTGGTGAACTCTCTGCTGACAGCGTGCAAATGAATGAATTTCCTCTAAGGAGGAAGTCATCCGGTTTATTTGGCTCAGTAGCACTTTTTATCCTTCGACAGGTCCTGTATCCTGTAGGGTTGTAAAAGGTAAAGGCAGACAACCATGATTGGAACCACTTTGTACAGTTACGGGGAGATATGTGTACGAGGCCCGAGTAGTGAGACTGTAGAATTTGCAGAGGAGTATCTCTTGGGTGATGGCAGTTTACTTGTATCAATTTTGAAATCCAGTGTTTATCGCAGAGACTTGTTTGCTCGATCACAGGCATTCTCCCTGCTTCTGTTGATATGATCTTCATTAAGTCACTGATGTAGGACTGCTGACAAACAAGGGATTTTGATGTGAGAATTAGGAGCCATATGGTGGTAGTTCCATACCAGACTTGCTTCGCACACAGTGTGCAGCTTTGGTTGGCTTGGTGGCTGACTGTAGAATGCGATGTAGCAAAGTTAGATGTAGTATGTTTTAGATGTGCCTAATATATGCTTTAGTAAGGAGATGGATCTTTCCATTTCCATTCTCATAAACAACACTTTATCATGTTGCCTTCTGGAAGCCAATCGAAGATCCAGCTCTCGTGGCGGTCCTGGTAGGCAGTCGTCATACACTGATTTCTGGGTTGTGTAGGTTGGGTCGAAAGGATGGAGTGGTGTAGATGGACACATGTGTATATTGTCAGTAATCGACCATCACTGGTTGTTGTGTTTTGGACCGGCCCAGCTGTAGCAGGGAAGTCAGGAGTTTTATTCTCTCGCAGGAAGTTCTTTAGCTATTGGGCAAAGTTTCGGAAGCATCAGCCATTGTAACATTTTGGAGTTTGATGAAGACGCACCGTTTGACGAACGCTGAGATGACTTGTACCTAGGTTGAGAAGTTGTTTTGTTTGCATGCGGCGTGAGTGGCTTCCTTTGTGGAAGAAGATGCAATGGAAATTGTATCATCTTTTATGCCCGTCGAAATCGTAAGCGAGTACATCAACTATTATGGAAATTCATATATTAGATGAGAAAAGTATTGTGAGAGGAAGTGTATGTGGCTGATCGAACACTCATGTTATGGACTATTCAAACCTGACCATATTGTGATTCATGAACTGTTTAAACAACAAGAAGTCGATTGATCCTTGTACAACTATCACACGGAGTTGTGTGCCATTATATCTTAAATATCTATGTCGAACAGTATGTTCAACGGAAATATTTGTGCAGTCATCCGTGAACTTGACAGTACATGGTCACAGTAGCAATCATCCTCACTACACACATCACTTTCAAGATAATGTACAACAAACCGAAGAGGTGTACACCCGCACTACTTCCATCTACTATAAGCTCCGAGTGACTTTCTCATTAAAAAGCCCGAGAGGTTCGAGAATTGTCCGAATGTGTACAAACTCCACAGTTGAAAGAACAATGAAAGTTATATGCAAGGACGCATATTTTCATCATTAATATGTCTCCACATTGAAATCACCTTCATAGTCTCGGAACGTTTGGACAGTATGAGAATCTTTCCAGATGATGGTAAAACCTGAGGTCGATATCCACATTTCCTGGAAGAAAACTATCAATTTTAATAAAGAAACAAATACTTTCATAGTTTTATAAACATCTTTAGTATTTATATTTAGTTTCATAACATCACTTACCTAAGTATATCATGACTAGCTATTTTCCATCTTCTCTATGCCATTAATCACATATAAGATAATATATATATATATATATATATCCTATTTAATATAATATTATATGTAATAAGTAGGTAGATAGGAAAAATACTTAAGAACCAAAGCTCTTAATAACTCTAAACTTTTTTATGATCAAAGAGAAAATTAGATATTTGTCAAATAGAAAACCTTTAGAAGAAAGTCAAAACTCATTCATAGGAATCACAAGATAGTCACATATTACACCAGATAGATATATGTGGTTCATCACGGTGAACTACATTCACAAAACATCTCAGGTTTGACTCAGAAACCCTAAAAAGTTTCACTAAAAGTTTTTCTGAGTTCTTTTATATAGTGGCAATCTAACCTGTCTAACTAATTGAGATCAAAATAACCTAAGATAAATGAAGATCTGAGTTAATTTCCAATAATTTCCCGGTTAACTCATGTTGTGGAGAGCTTAATCTCCATAACTCTATAAATACTCTACATAAAGTTACTGGAAAAAAACTTGAAGTATGACATTCTTTCAACCAAAACTAAGTAGATTTAAGCTGTAGTCAAAATATGATAGACAAAATATACATATAGAGGTAACAAAATTGCTAGTCAATCCACATGTTCTCTTCAAGTGAATTTTACAAGATAACACAATTTTTTTATAAAATTCTCCAAAGTAATAACTTCGATTAATGCATCAACTAGATTGAATTTATCATCAATTTTGACTAGTTTATATTTTTTTTTATCAGAAATTGTATCATTCATGAAGTGATATTTGATATAAATTTTGTTTACTTTGTTATTCATTCTTTGCAAGATGAGGATTTCGTTAATGTAGAGTACTATAATAATGAGATTAAAGATTTTGTTATGAATTTTTTGTTATACACTCAAACGCAGTCCCTGAAATTCTTGTGCTCTTATGAACTCATAAAACATTGCATTTGACTTTCTAGAAGTCTGCTTCAATCTAGAAAATCATTTCAAAATCTACTAACCAACTTCTCTAGAACTTTACTTTCAAAGTCAACTACTTGTGTCAATTAAAGTTCTTTTTCCAAAGATCCAAAGAGACTTGATGTAACTACATAGATTTGATTCATAAGTTAAGTATATAATGCATCAAATGCACCTAGTAGTCAATTTGTAACATACTTTGCTATAGCTGATAACAACTCATTTTAATCTAAGAACTAAATTTCTTTTGCATGAAAATTTTAGTCAACAAACTCAATATAAAGATTCTCTTCTCGTAGTTTGTTGAATTGTTTTTTCAGCTCGTACAATCTCTTGCTATCAATCAGAGTTTGATTCTTTGGAAGTTATTCTAGCTTTCGCATCTTGTCATCAATCTATATTTGCATGTCATGCTCCATAGCAATATTTCATATATCTTAATGACATACACATGAGCTTTTCTACAAGAACAAGAATATACTTCTTTCAAGATCAATGCAAACATGATCATGAGCATTGCCAATCTTAATATCATGATAATCAAGAATTAATAAAATAGATTATATTTTATATTTGATAGAATTTTCATTCATCTGACTTGATGACATGCAAGTATAAGTTTTTTTTGAAAAACTTGTAATAGTGATTGAAATTTATTGTTTTACTTAGTGAGATAAAACTCATCAACTATATCTTGTACTTTAAACTTTAATATTTTATTCATTTAGATTCTATTTTGTGTTTCATCAATATTCATAATAATAAAACCTATTTCTACCAATATTTTGATTAGAAATTTGTACTTCTAAATACTTGGAGTTGAAAATTTATTTCTTTGTATTAATATTATAAGCACATTGATAGATTTATAAATCCAAAAAAAATTACAGTTTACAAAATTGTTAAGTCTAAAATATCTATAAAAAAGTTTCTTCTTGGATGTAAAATTCAACATGATAATATTTTTTAAGTATTAAAAGCCATATAACTAGAATTACTCAAACTATTAAATGTAGTCATATATGTGATTCACCACAAATGAATTAGAAAAGTTTATTGCAAAATTTTTTTATCAATTAAACTTTCTTAATTTTAATATTGACAACTTGAGACTAAAATTCATATATAAAACTAAATTATTTTGGAGTATTGCGTTCCTTCTCCAATGCTAAATCCTAAACTTATTTCAATTGTCTTCGCATGAGATTTTGAAAAATAAATTTTTTTGGTGTAATATAAATCATAGTAAGCTGATTACTGATTTATTCTTTTTACAATAAATATTAAACTTATCAAAATTATCTTTTTTTGGCGTTAATTCATTATTCAAACATTTATCAGTATTTATTTAATCAATATCAAAGATTGTGAATATATCTTTATATTGTAAATATAAGTTTTTGTCTAAAAATCAAGTGAACATTTTTATTGTATTCAAGATTTCTTATGATATGGTTTTAGGAAATTTTTTTTTAATATAATTTTCATTTACTTGAAATTACTTTAATGATGAATAAAATAATGTATAGTAAGCTATAAAATCTATAAAAAATCCTTTAAAATGAAAGATACAAATATATATATATATATATATATATTTCTTACAACATGTACAAAAATTTTAAATTTGAAAATCAATTTTTATTTTATTTACAGTAGTTTGATGATATAATATATGTAAGCAACAAGCGCAAGAATGAATGACGGATTTCTATCAATATTCACACAACCAAACATATTTTTATCTAACTGACATGTCAAGCTTGATAATTCATTATTATTCAACTTTAATTTCATCTTAATAATCGTGATTTTTTTTTATACTCATTGCAGATTTTTTACAAATCTTATTGCTTTTAATACAAAACAAACACATCACACATATGTTCAAATTGTTGAATTTTTGAAGATGCATTGGTTAAAATTCTAGCTAATTGCCATGTTGACACATATCATGAATGTCATTTTTATTGTATAAAATATCTTTTTTAATCATATTTTTCATTATTTATTAAATAAATATCTTAAATATTTTTTATTTTAATCATAAGCTATCAAGATTAGTTAAAAAGTTATTGTTGATGAATTTTTTTGATTGTCATATATTTTTTTTAATTGTGATACATTAAAATACATTATACATATTCATTGAAAAGAAAATTTTGAATTTGTAAGACAATTGCAAAATCATAAAATATCAATGCACCAAAATTAAAGTTGATTTAATTTCAAGGATAAATCTTTTAAACATAATTAAATGTTATATTTCACATAAAAATTCATCTTTGCAATGAGCATTGAAAATTTTTACTTAATTTTCAGTTGAAGTTTATTACTATGCTTCACAAAAATATTCATCGTTGTTACTTTGATTGAAATCATTTAATTTTTGAAATCTTCAAAAAAAAAATTGATGAAATTAAGATGATCATCATACATGACGTAAAATGAAAACACGTTTATATATGCATCTTAATATACATAAAGAAAGGAGTAATTCATTCTTTTGAATGGATGTAATACAACATTAACATGTCAAATCTATATGATTATAAGTTTGAAGAGTGATAAAATTGAATTGTTTGAAAGAAACTAAACAAGATATTTTAAAACAAAGTAATGAATAAGAGATTTATCAATGATATCTTATTATAAAATATGAATAATGAAGATTATATTCAAATACAATTTAGCAAATGATGAAATTGTTAATATTTTTGTTGTTAATCTGGTATGAATTATTTTACTTTGCTTGTAAAAAAAATCACAACTAAACTTTACCACTTTGCTTGTAAAATTTGTCCTTAGAAACCTTTTTGACATAACATTACAACGACAATCTTACATCAAATGTATAATGTATTTAAAGATATGAATGTTACTCATTGTAAAATTAATTTTTATTGAAAATCTTTATATTGGATATATTTATTTTTTACTACATCATTAATGTATCATAAAACATAAATTCATGATTTATGATCAAATTTTTTCACAAATTTAAACGCAATAAAGTCGTTTTAAAAAAAAAAGTTGTTGCCAAAAAATATTTATGAACTTCAAGTAAATCCGCTTGAAATTCATAAATATTTGGGAGATAAGACAATTCAATGCAAAAATACTTTTCACTAATCTTGAAAAATATCATACATAGTTGTATCTAACTTAGAAATAAATCTTTGAACCATTTTTTATATTTTATATTTTCATATTGAA